GAAAATGAGGTATAGAAAATTGTAAAAAGCTAACATAGCAAACTCTTTGTTAGTGTTTAAACTGATGAATCACTATGATGGTATGAACTAACATAGACTTGAAGTTAAAGTTTTTAATTCTCTGGTTCTTAAAAAGGCCAGTGCATTTTTCATTTTGTAATTGTTAGGGAATGCAAATGGCAACTCATACAATCCAGAGAAGTCTGTAGCTACAGGATAACATTTGTTTTGTTTTGTTTTATTTTGTTTTTTTTGTGAGTGTTTTATGGGAATTCCAACGAGTAAAGATATTTTGCACACATTTTAGTGTTTTGCATTTATCTTTTACTACAAAGGCATTAATGGTGATTGCCATGTCAAAGCACTACAGAACACCAAGAAACCAAGTAAAATATTCCTTCACCAACCATATGTTAGTTGGGGTTATATCAAACAACTGGATGTTTGATGGAAGTTTGCCCTCACGTATTTGGATGTCACCTAGATACAATCATAGAGACCCATATATAATCATACATACCCAGAAAACATATTAATCTCATCGAAGAGCTCAAAGAAAAAATTAAAAGGCAGCAGAGAAACAGCTTCACAAAGATGAGCTACTAATCTGAAAAGAAATTGCGAACATATATTTGTGTGTTGATTTTCCGATTAACCTGTATGTTGGGAATTGAAAACCCAGTATTTCAGAATCATTACATCACATTAAAAACATCATCCAAAAGGTAGTGGTTAGTTGGCATATATACTTGTTTTACCATATGCTACTGTTTATCAAAAGTAGAAGCTTGGACAGGAAGTACAATTCAGAACATTTTTTTTAAAGTTGTACATTATCCAAGATTATATTTTCAGGTCTAGAAATGCGTCGTGAAGTTACATAAGAATTTAACAGGCTTAATTTATTATACATGTTACTATTTAAAAATATTAGGGATTCACATTAACTGTAAATTTGTTTGCTATAACAAACTAGTTTGCTTAGATTATGTACAGAAATATTACTAGATGAATGAACATGTAAATCTTACAGTAATTTTCACTCTACATCATATTCCAATTTCCTCAATCCTGCTTTAAATGTAAGCAAACACCTTGGTCTTGTTGAACCATACCACAGCATGTCTAGCAAAGTAAAAAAAAAAACCCCACCATATATAATGTAAACTGCATAATAGAACACTGATTCCAAAGAGATATCTATGGTTGAGCCATCGAGGTTTTTCATAATAATCAAAAGCTGTGTAAAGCTTTTTACAGCATTCACCTGCTCAAGCTCCGTATGATTCTATTTGATATTTACTTTCCTCTGCTCTAACAAGAATCAACAGCAAAAAGGAGAAATAGAAATAATGTATCAAGCCAGGTGAGCCAAATACTAATTTTGTTTTATTAATAATATCTAACTATTACATTAGGTAATAGGATGTTTTTAGAGAAAGGTAAAATAATAGCAGTCTCCATTCAGAAGAATGATCTAATTTAGTCATCAGAATTTGCAGGTGTCTTAAATCAATTATTGTTTATGTTAACTATTCTGAATGCTGGATTATTTAATTTTCATAATTAGCAGCCACATATGAAGTTATGTCTGTATATAGTGCTAATCAGAAATGTAAAAAAAAATATTGCAATAGCTTTCAGCTTTTCATCTGTCTGTAGTTGTGCTGGTAATCCAGTTCAGATTTTTCTTCCAAGTGGTAAATGATGGGAAGCTTTTTAATGTGTTCACAAAAGATTATTTTAGAGTCTAAAATTGATGGCACATTAAGAAACATGTAATTTAAATAAAAGTATCCTCTGTTTTATATGTGATTCCTAATATTTACATATTTGTACGAGATTCCTTCCGTGTTTGTGTGTGTGTGTGTGTGTATGTGTGTGTGTGTGCATCTGTTGGAGTTTGTGTGTGTGTGTGTATGTGTGTGAGTGTGAGGAGGTGAAGACATGTGAGCAGTGTAATAAAATATGTTTTCATTAAAACATAATCTTTGAGTCAAGTACTCAAAGTACTAGTCTTCTCTTGACCTCATATCATTCATAATTAAATTAATTAATTAATAACTAATATGTTAACGTATTTAGGAAACCTGAGGGAATTTGTTAATCATAATGTACACTAAGGACTTAATAACCTTGCTTAAATTTAAAACTGCTGGACTTTTGGTAAAAGAAAGCTTCATGCAAACATTATGTGAATTCTGAAAGCCTGTCTCTAACATAGAATATAAAAAGTATTTTGTTATATTGTCATTAAAATTTCTCACCACTTCCAAGTTTTTAAGACTCTTGTGGAAAATAAATTTCCATTATGCCTTCTATTTTCAGAAGTAATGTATCAAAAATGCTTTGCAATTTGATAATTTAAAATAATATTGTCCAGAATAAATTTGAATGCTAGATTGTTGTTTTTCAGCAAGAATCTTTGTATAAAGGCATCAGAAAGGTATAATGACTGTAGAGGAAACTGTGATCACCTCAGTGTTATTTATACATATGATAGCTGAACTCAAGCACTGAGACTTTTAGGTCATTCAAACTTTGACTTAGACTTTTGAGAGTTGATGATCCCATGCAATATGATTATATTTTTCAGTATACCTATATGTTTGAATATTTGGACACTCAGTTAATCATTATCATTACAACTCCATGATTCTACACAACAGTATTTCCCTGAAGCCACTCTATATTTTTAACCAAATTGTGTGACTATCTTTTCTTAATTCATAATTGAGACTTAGACCTAACAGCAAACACCATCTTGTGTATTGCAAAAAGCATTTTCTCTTTCTCCTATGTTTCTGCCATTGTTCTAGGCACTGAATTTTGTTAGTTATGCTAAAGCTCTTAAATATTGCTTTATATAGTTGTTTTCCACAAATACCTGTTAAAAATTATTATGATGGATAACCTGTAAGATTTTAATTAATATTTAAAGCACAGGTTCATTTCAGAAATGACCTGAACACCCTTTCAAAAGCATATTGTGACTTTCTTTCTTAGCATCAAAAGTTTCAACCTTATCACTGAAACCTTTTACCCTTAAAAAAGAACTTTGCCGTAGTAAATTATTTTAACACATTACAAAAGATCTCGTGAATTTTGATAAAAATGTCAAAGCTGAGATTCTACTTTTCCATTATTTTCTTTAAGGGTTATAGCATGCCTTATGAGAATTCATCCCCCACACATTTGGAGGTAAAAAGAGCTAGGGGCAGGGTTGAGAAAGTAAACAAATGCTGGGTAATTATGAAACAGGAGTTCAAACAGGATCATCTTTAAAGCAACTTTTCCCTCTGAGGTTGTTCTCTTCCTTTGTACCATTTCAGTATCCTCTTCTAGTTCAGAGAAAATTCAGGCTAGGAAGGTAGATAGGAATTTTTTTTCAGCCGAAAGATGTAATAGAGCAGACATTTTCAATGTCTTAATGAAACAGAGTACAGTAGCAACTGACTCCTACAGTACAGTACACCTGGCTTGTTTATTATAACCATAGAACAACAATCTCAAATTCAAGGAAGCTTCGTATGATCCTCATCACAAATACAACCAATTAAATGCTTATCTAACAATACATATTAAAAGTGCACTCGGGTATTTCGCTTTAATTGGGGCTCTAAAACCAAATGGCATTTAATTTCTCTTGTATAGTATGGGAAACTTCTCTCCGTATTTCTTTGGACCACTCTAAATACACCTCTAGGTTAGCATCATCAGAGAACCCCATAAAGTTTGAGGCTGCTCCTAACCAATTGTTTCCTAGAGTTTTTTCTATCCTTATTAGCATATCCAGTAGCATTGATGCAGATCTGCTAAACCCAAAGCTGCCAAAGGCAAGCAGGAACTGAAAACCAGCTCGCGCCCCCGCCCCTACTCTCCCAGTGGTGAAACAGACGTGGAGAGGACATCTACTAGTGGAGTGAGATCCGTTGTCTCGGCAGTTGTAAACAACCAGCCGCACAGGGTTTACAGAAATGTTTAAATACACTCCTGACTGCAAACACATCCACTCACCAAGACGCGCTAAGTCTCCCTTTCCCCATCTCTAGGCAAAGCATCCTAAAGCTGAATTGGCAGCCTGCAGTTCGGGAACTGGAAGAAGCTGAGGTTATATTTCCCCGAGGCTTGCCTAGCGGGTGCTTAGCTCTCCGCAAACGTACTCGCTGCTACTGGATTCCAGACACCACGTTTTCAGGATGAAATGCAAAAGCATACAATCATTCACAGCTGATCGCATGGGCATGGTTGAAGCCAACACCGACAGTTCTGGAAGCACCTCATGCCCAGTAATGGTTGTTTCTAGTGACACAAATTGGGGTATAGGAGGACACATTGGGTGGGGCTCCATTGGTATAGGTTAGAAGGGTCCTGGAGTTCCCCTAGAATCTATGCTGCCTGATTGATGTTTGAATAGAAATTCAGAAGCAAACAGGTTCTATAGTGTGTCTAGCCCCTAGGTATCTTCTCTGGGATAGATGAGAGGAGGTGACCCCGAGTGGCAGCACCCTGGTGGTCGCTCCAGGTAGGAGAAATGCAGGAGACTAGTGTCTCCTTTCTTTTGGATGGCGCCTCCCACCCCCTACTTCAAGCATCCTGGTCCACTTGTTAGAGCGCCTTGGTCTGCGAAAAAGCAGAGGCGAGGAGCCCTTCTCACATAACTGAAGGAGTTGGTTGGCAAAAGTGCCACCTAGGAAGCCCACCAAACCTTCGAAGGACAGTGTCCCTAGGGCCTGCTGGAAGCCTGAACTGAAAAGGACAACCTCCCATTGCTCTAAAGTGATTCAGAGCCCCCCGGGGCACAAGGAGATTTTGAGAAGAAGGTTGTAAAGGCTCCGTAACCTCCAGCAGGAGTCCCAGAGCTGGCACAACAGCCTCTCACAGCCAGGAGTCACCATCCTCTACCGCATCCTAGGGGTGAAGTTCATCTGGAGTCCTTGGGGCTGAAGGCGGGAGGGAGGGAGCTGGAATGAAGTAGAAGACAGAAGAAAAGCACATACCTAGTCCAGGCGCAAGTTTCAGTGATGTCCTCAGGTGCGGTTCCCCGCCTCTTTGCCAGGTGCTCAGCTCCGCTGGGTGCTGTAGGTGCCCGGGACTTCGGGTGTCTGGGCTGGTTCCTGTGGGAAACGACTGTAAATCCACATTACTGTTGGAGCTGCCGCTCTGGCCCCCTCATCGCTCTCCTCCGGCTGGCGGCGGTGGCGCTCGCAGCCCACGGTCGCCTGGGGCTGGAGCCGAACCTAGCTACTAGTGCCAGAGGACGACCGCTGCCTGGAGGGTGCTTGAGCCCTGATCGTATTTTTTCTTCCTTTTTTCGAGATACTGTGTATACGTGTGTGAAAAATAGTATGTGTGTGCGAGTGTGAAAGCAGAAGGGGTAAGCCCGGCACTAGGCACTCGGAGGTGAACTCCGGGCTGAGCTAGAGCCCGCCGCGCTCCTGGAAGCCCGGCGTCTGCACCGCTGATGGCCGTGCTGATGCTGCCTTGGCCGCCGTCGCCGCGCTCTAAGGCTGGTAGCAGTGATGCAAAAAATGTTTCTCCGCTACTCGAGACCAAAAAACCTGCCCTGTCTACTGAGCATGCCCGGTTTGACAGCTCCAAAGCACAGGCTTTTTAAAAAATCCTCCCCCCAACCACAGCCCGCCCCCACGCCCCAAGACTCCAGGTTTTAGCCGCAGCTAAGACTCGGGAGGTGGGGTTGAGTGGGGAGGAGCCTGAGAAAGGCTGTAGGAGCAGGTAGCTGACTGTGGAAAGAAAGTGGAACCGAGAAAGATCAGAGTATTTGAGGGTGGAGAGAGGGCAGGAGAAAGCTGGGTAGAGGAGCAGAAGGAAATATGCATAAACAAAATTTAGATTTCGTACCACGGTGTGTCTCTTCCTGATCTCACATGACCAGCTTTTATCATTTAGCATTATTTTCTCCTGAAGATGGGGCAGAATGGAGACTTCGGAGGAATATTTGTTAATCTCAGAATCAACCCGGGACAGTTTCCCAGTCGTGACATACACAAACACACACCACACGTGTGTATGCGCGCACGCATGTACACACACACACACACACACACACACACACACTCACACACACACCACACGATAGAGCTCTAGATCACTAAATTACTGTTTCCATGTGTAAAGCCTCGGGACAGACTTAGAAAGAATTAAGTCTCTTGCCTGTATAACTTTGGTGGGGAAAAAATAAAGGAACTCAAAAAGGGCAAGTCTGTGGGTTCCTCCTGTTCTTTCCTTCTTCCTCTTCCTCCAGACAAGCTAAACCGGTGAATATGGTAATAAGCTACCCACAAGGTTTTGTGCGTGGGTAAAAAACAACTCCAATTCTCCTTCCACTGACAGTATGACCCCAGCGCTCCAAGGGCAGCTGCAAACAGCTGGCAGGCGGCTTGTCAGGTCACCATTAACAAAGTCCCCATTGAGGAAGTGGGAGGTGAAGAAAGCACTCTAAATACTGCTTTGCCTGGCCACTCTGGCCCCGAGGTTTCCCAAAGACCTCTGCCCCTCACCCGGCTGGGCAGGAGGGTACTACCCAGGAGAACCCAGTTCGCTGCCCCAAGTCCAGGATCCCTCCCTTCTCACCCTCCTTAGCTTCCTTGAAAAAACGGAGAAGTGGAATCAACATGCCCAGAAACTTGCTTCAGAAGCCTTAGGAGTACCACTGGGCATGCTCGAGACTTGGGGGGCACCTCGCATGGAGGCACTCTCCAACCACTAACATCTGCATGGCGGGACCAGATGTGACTGAAGTGGGAGGCATTGGTGCCAGCTCCTAGGAGCCGCTACGGTTCCCGGAAGGGCTGTGGCAACGCCCTTAGCTGCCTTCTTCCTGGCTTCCACGGGAAAGCCAGACATTGGGAGATACCAAATGCTTAGCCAGGGGAGCTGCATCAATGGGAAAAAACAAAAACACACACAAAAAAACATAACAACAACAACAACAACAACAAAAATCCACGAAGTCTTGCAGACTCCCAAGCCCCTTCCCATCCAGTTCCACCCCAGGAACAGCCAGGTAGGGGGCGCACACCTCAGTTAGAGAACCTGAAATGTGTTCCCTGAGACTCCCAACCTCTAGGTAAAGAAATCATAACGCGAAGAGTCGAATCTTCTATTTCCAAAAGACTGTTACTAATGGTTTTCTTGGGTAAAGAAAGAAGGATTTGTGCAAATATGCATATGTGCACGCTTGCTTTTTAATTTTCCTCCGCAGGAACATACTAGACAGAACCACCAGCTATTCGTGACTTGGGAGCCCGCTAGGGGTTGCAGTAAGGCGCATTTGCCACTGTGGCTAGTGCTAATTAAGGGGAAGAGTTGCTTTTGCGGCTCACCAAAGCTTCCAGATGTTCCCCTCCCAGGGTGGCAATAGCTGCCTGAAGAAGGTTTCCTGGCTGGTGCGCTTCTGAGCTAGGGGACTATGTTCAGCTTCCCAAAGACGTTGTAAAGGGTGACGCCAGGGGGAGATCTCAGTCCCGTGTCTTTCCCATCTCCCTGGCTTTTGATACAGGTATTTGCAAAGAGGGAGCATTGGAAGCCCATCACATCACCGAGGGGATATAGTATAGGGAGCTGAACACTGGGGCGGGGCGGGGTGGGGGTGGGGGCAGGGAATCTAGAGCATGCTTATTCCCATCGTCCGTTTTCCAAAGCCGCTTTCCAAAGCTTCAGGCGGGAATCCTTTGAATCTTTGCTGCTCAACATACAGGCAACCTCCAGTCCCGCCCCACCACCCTGCCAACAAAGAAACAAAAGATGACAACCAGACTCTGCAGGGGCAACAGCTTCCTCTAAGATCTCTCCATTAGGTTGTTTGAAGCTGTAAGGAAGAGGTGACAACAGAATCTGTATCTTGTCACCAGTATATAAACGAACTTTCCTAAAACCCACAACCCTCTTTCAAAACAAAAACAAGTTCTTTATCTCCAAATAAATGATTTTATAAATCCTAAACAAAGTAAAATGTTCAACACTAAGAACTACTCAAACCTTTGACTGTAGGGGGGAAAACAGCTGTGAAAAAAAAACTTTTAAGTTACATCCTCAATCGTCACTTCAGAGAGGTTTTCCTCTTTTTTTTTTCCCCTAAAAGGAAGAAAGAGAAACATCAGTGACTTCAATGACTGGAAGTATCCTTGAAACTAAGGAAATTCTTTAATCAGTAACTAAGGAAAGAGCTCCCCATTTAGGGAAAGGGAATAAAAAGTAGACAACCCCCAATGTCTGAGGAAATGGAATATAGGATTTAAAAGCATGATGATATCCCTCCTGCTCTTTGTTACTCTTTTTGAAGACACTAGCAGAATGTAGAATGGATAACTAAAGACTTCAGGAAAGGAGGCTCCAGTTCCTGACCTTTGAACATGTTTACTCAGTGTATTTCACTTCTATTGCCTCTTCTTTATAATAGTTCTCACATTTTTATGTCTTCTTTTCTATACTGGTTTTATTCCTTCATTTGGTATAGATTTGTCTGCCTTTTGTTCCTTCTAAGCACTGTTTCTTCTCCTAGCTCTTAAGTAAAAAGGGCTGTATCACTGTCACTATTCTTTTCCTAAGAATCCTAAGAACTGGTGTGCTGATTCTAGAATTCCATATACAAATATTGTAGATAGATTTCCCAGAGCGATTATTCAAGGGTAGAGTTTCCCCAGATACATTTAAGTGACAAGAAATTGCAGAATATTCCAGTAGTTTTGCTCATGACACCAAGATTTTCCATTTCAAATATGGAAATCATGACAATGGCATATTAAATTGCTAGCTTTAGAATGGTCAATGTAAAGGAAAATATAACTGAGTGTAATGAAGCATGCAGTCTCTATAAGAAGGACAGTTACTTATTTGTCAAGCTTAAATTATTGAAATGATTTGCTAGAATTTTTAAAAAGCTATGCCTTTCCTTTAACAAAGCTACACAGTCACATGCAGTCATATACCTTTATGTGTTTATTATCAGAAATAATATAATTACACGAATTCAATTCAACTAGTGATTATACAGCATCTACTATATTCTAGAAACTGTGTCAGAACTAGGAATAGCCAAGAAATGGAGACTTATAGAAACTAAGCGATGTTTAAAGATTAGTGAACAATTTGCTAATCAACAAGCATATTTCAGTGGCTATTGTCATGCACCTAGAAAAATTGAGTCTTTAAGAACAATATATAGATTTTCTGTCTTTGATTTTTAAAATGTACATTTAATTTATAGGTTGCATTCTGTGAAGAGAATGCACAATGGAAAATATCACCTATTTCAATCTTGTTTCTAAGTACCCTCATAAGTAAGAGTATGAGTACAATAATATTAGAATAAGTCAATAACAATTACATAAAGAAAATCAATGTGTGCCATCTGAAATGAAGTAGTTTTTTTTTTGATTGCTTGTCTAATAGGAAGACATTTTCAAAGGCATACTTTCAATATATACTTGTTGTGGTAAGCCATTCTTTCCTGTTGATGCTAAGAACCATGACACACAAAGATCAGTTACCAGAGGTTATGAGGGTTGCTTGCACTTTAACTTCTGGCTACAAATGCCTGGAAAGCAGAAATGGTGGCTTAATGATTTTCTCCCAAATAGCCTCCGTAAATGGGCCTGTAAAATTGTAAATACCAGCTTGCTGCTAGGAAGTGTCTATTTCCGGCTGGCTGTGGGCCCCACTGGGAAAAGCAGCCACAGTCCAAGTTGGTGGAAGCTCACTTGAGCCTGGATATGAGCAGTTGGTACTCAGGATTCTGCATCCATCTGTTCATAACACAGTCAGATTAGTTAGTTTTCATGCATCTAAGTAAGACTCTCGAGAACAATTGACAAGAAAATTAATGTCTTCTTCTGGCCTATTCCTTAGTATCCAAATGTACCCCATGGAGCCACTTCTCTGGTCAGCATGCCAAGGAAAAACAAAATGCTTTTTAAAAAATAGGGGTACAGAAAGTCACTTTATATTTCATGTAGCATGCCCTGCTTTGTGAAGTAGGTATTCATACAGAATATTGTCCTTTGGAAAGGATCTATTGGTGCTATTGCACCTTATTCTCAAAGCAAAATGTATCCCTAATACTTAATAATCACAACATTCAGAAACCAATGTTTCACAACAGGGTGCAGTGGCAATTCATTTGTATTATTACTATAATGGATTCAAATAACTGCTTAAATTAAAAATTATAGACAATTGGAAGAATGGTACTCTGGTCTTATTTTATGTAAAATTCACTTACATTTGATATTCATATACATAAACAAGTGCAGCAATTGAAAACTATGAAATGAATGTGTGCATACTTCCTGATTCACACATTCAGTAATTTGTTCCCTCATACAGATAACAGAGTGCCTACCCTTGCAGACCTGAAAGCTGGCTATATGCTACTGTTTGTCTTTTTATTGGAAATACTTTTTAAGAACATTACTTTCTGGCACTTTTTAACTATCACAGTTGTTGAAAAGGGGAAAAATTGATTTCAAAATGTACCATGATTTCTGTTTGAGAGACTAAATTACACTCCAGGAAAAAGAATGTGAAAAGAGTTTAGAAGAAT